AATTGTGACCCGATGTGAGATTGGTTGATGATATATGGTTTAGTGAGTGTTTGATTACGGTTTTTGGGTTGAACCCCATGTAATTGTGAACCGATGTGAGATTGGTTGATGATATATGGTTTAGTGAGTGTTTGATTACGGTTTTTGGGTTGAACTCCATGTAATTGTGAACCGATGTGAGATTGGTTGGTGATATATGGTTGAATGAGTGTTTGATTACGGTTTTTGGGTTGAAATCCATGTAATTGTGAACCGATGTGAGATTGGTTGGTGATATATGGTTGAATGAGTGTTTGATTATCGGTTTTGGGTTCAACCCCTGTAATTGTGAACCGATGTGAGATTGAGGTTATGTATATGGTTGAATGAGCGTTTGATTATTGGTTTTGGGTTCAACCCCTGTAATTGTGAACCGATGTGAGATTGAGGTTAGGTATATGGTTGATTGAGCGTTTGGTTATCGGTTTTGGGTTGAACCCATGTAATTGTGACCCGATGTGAGATTGGTTGATGATATATGGTTTAGTGAGTGTTTGATTACGGTTTTTGGGTTGAACCCCATGTAATTGTGAACCGATGTGAGATTGGTTGATGATATATGGTTTAGTGAGTGTTTGATTACGGTTTTTGGGTTGAACTCCATGTAATTGTGAACCGATGTGAGATTGGTTGGTGATATATGGTTGAATGAGTGTTTGATTATCGGTTTTGGGTTCAACCCCTGTAATTGTAAACCGATGTGAGATTGAGGTTAGGTATATGGTTGAATGAGCGTTTGGTTATCGGTTTTGGGTTGAACCCCTGTAATTGTGAACCGATGTGAGATTGGTTGATGATATATGGTTTAGTGAGTGTTTGATTACGGTTATTGGGTTCAACCCATGTAATTGTAAACCGATGATTTTTTGGGTCGGTCATAATGAAGAAATTCCTAGATCCTAAACCCTCACCGTCGTGATGCCGTTTCTTCCTTCTCCTCCTTCGTCGGCGCCAGAGGACTGATCCTCGGTTCCTCCCTGTCGACTTCTTCCTTCCTGCTTCCCTCCTTAGTCGGCTCTTATCCACCAATATTACGAAACCATCGATTTCTTCCTTCCTGCTTCCCTCCCTGTCGACTTCTTCCTTCCTGCTTCCTATCTCCCTTCCTTCGTCTTCCCTTCTCTACGCAACCATCGATTTTCCATTCTCCCTTATTCGCCCATCCTTCGTCAGCCGCCGAAGACCCGCAGACCGCTCTCCATCACTCTCCGTCAAGTACGATAACCTCTTCTCCTGCTTTACCTGTGTGTTTTGCGCTTCTAGTAGCCTCAGATTTCGAGTTTGAGTCTTGCGAATTTAGGGTTCCACGTGGTTTTTTGGGAAATTGTTGGTTTTCGTCCAGATTTGTGCGGTTCTAGTTGCTTCATTTTCGTCCAGATTTGTGCGGTTCTATTTGCACTCACGGGTTCTTTTGGGAAACTTATGGGTTTCGCCGGACTTTGGGTTCTTTTGAGAAATCAGGGACTTATGAGTTCTTCTTGGTATGGAGTACGGTTTAGGCTATGGTTTCTTTCATTTGTGAATGGTAGGTTTGTCGCAGAAGTGAAGGGGAAACTATGGTTGCTTAACTCGGTCTTGCCTCGTGTTTGTTTCAATTGATTCGGTCGGTTGTGGGTGGTGAATATGTGGATTTCAATTGTCTCTAAACTTCATTTTGTTGCTTGTTTTCAGTTGATCAACTATGGAAGGGTTGATGGATGATATGAGCACAGGCAAGGACACGGGAATTGACTTGAATGTTGGTTTAGATTGGGGAATGGATTATGGAGATGATACCGGTGGTGTTAGAGATAGTGACGATATGGAGGACAATGTCGACACCACCGATAGTGATTCTGAGGATGATAATAACACTAACTTTGGTGATGATGATAAAGAGAACATCTCAGATGAGCATTTGCACAGCTTCGAAACACAGCCACACAGCTCAGATGCACCTCTACACAAAGATGCTGCAAATCCAGCCATGGCTCCACCGTACTCGAGTATGTATGACTGGACCTTGCTTGATAAAGTCGGGAATGGTAAGCCATATTCTAAATGGGAGTCGGATGATGTTGTGGGTTATGAGTTTGAAACCCTTGTGGAGGCTGCCAAGTTCTATTCAACTTATGGTTGTGCCATGGGATTCAGCGTACGGAAGAACACTCACACATATTCAAAATATGGAGTTAAAAATATGCAGCGATGGGTTTGCTCACGCGAGGGGGAGCATCAACCAGTGCACAATGACAAGGAGAACAGAAAGCGTGAACCTAGGCCTGTAACAAGGCTCCATTGTCCGGCAGCTTTCAAAGTCAGTTTTGTTGAGGCAACTAACCGATTCAAGGTGAAACAGTTTATACCAACACATTTTCATCACTTAGCTGGAGCACATGAAGTGCAGTTTTTGAGTTCTCATCGCAAGGTAGATGACACAAGTAAGGCTCAGATTCGATCACTTAGGGCTGCTGGTATTCGCACCAATCAAATCATGGATTATCTAGTGAATTGTGCGAGAAGCTTTCAGAACTTGGGTTTCACTAAGACCGATGTCTACAATTTTGTTAGTGCGGATCGGAGGTCGGAGATCTTGGATAGTGATAGTGAAGCTGCACTTGCCTACTTACAAGCACGGGCAACTACCGATCCTCGTTTTTATTGTAGATATACAGTAAGTGATGGTGGTGAACTAGGCAATATGTTATGGGCTGACTCTTCTTCACAATTGGAATATAGTCTCTTTGGAGATGTTCTTGTTTTTGACTCGACGTACAAAACTAATGCATATAATCTTCCATTTCTTCTATTCATTGGTGTGAATAATCACAATGCAAGCACTGTTTTTGCATGTGCTTTACTTGCGGATGAAACGGCGGAGAACTACGTATGGATTCTAAATGCTTTTTTTCATTGCATGGGTGGTAAGAAGCCAACCGCAGTTATAACAGATGGTTGTTCTTCAATGAGGAAAGCTATCAAGTCGGTTCTCCCTGGATCCCGACATCGGTTATGTTCTTGGCACTTGGGCAATAACGCAGAAGCGCGTGGCCATGCGGAAGGCTTCCGGGAGGATTTCAAACGATGCATGCTAAACTGCAGTTCTATTCCACAATTTGAAGCTACGTGGAAGGAAATTTTGTCCAAGTATGACCTGGAGCACAATGCGTGGATGAAGAAGATGTATAGGCGACGAGCTCTATGGGCCACAACTTACTTGAAAGGTATTTTCTTTGCTGGGATGACTACGTCACAACGTTGTGAGAGCATGAACTCTTATCTAGACAAATTCTTGCAAAGTAAGATGAAGTTGTTTGAGTTTGTCAAGCAGTTTGACATGGCACTTTTGTATAGGAGACAAACTGAGTTACATGACCAGTTTAAGACAATACATACTGATGTTGTTTTGATGACACATTTACATGAAATTGAAAGACATGCCTCTATAGTATATACAAGAAATGTGTTCAGGAGCGTTCGAGCAGAAATAGCGAGAGAAGTTCATTACTATATTACAGACAAGTGTGTGTTGACCAATAAAACAATTTACACATTGTCACGATTCAAATACCCTGACTCAAAGTGCACTGTGGTCTTTTACACGAGTGGACATGATGTGCATTGTTCTTGTGGCATTTTTGAGTTCTGCGGAATTCCATGTCGGCATATATTCTGTATATTGAAAGCAGAAAATCAAATACAAATTCCAAAGTCACTCATTTTGAAGCGTTGGACTAAAGATGCAAAAGAGTTCGATCCCTCGAGTATGGGAAGCTGTCCTACCCAGCAAAATATTAGCAGGTATTATAAATTTAAGCTGTTGATTTAGTTCTTTGTTTACTTCTATTGTGCTAGGAACCAACTACAAAATTGCTTGTTTATTTGGACAGGTTTGGATTCTTGGTTGGTCAATGTAGTAGAATGTGCCATTATGCTGTGAGTTCGGATGAAGCATTTCATACTGCCAAAGGGTTGATTGAAGACTTGACCTTGCGAGTGAAGACAATAAGTGAAGAAACAACCAACAAAACAAATAATGCTACTACGGATGCTGGAGTGAACTCCTCTCAGTTTATTAAGGACCCCCATCCAGTTCGAAGTAAAGGGAATGTGAAGCAACCTCAAGTGAAAACACGGTTGTGCAAGTATTGTAGGCGTCCTAAACATACAATCAGAAATTGTCCGCTGAAAAGAATGGCTGAAGCAGGTGCAGGTGATAGTCATTTCACGCAACAAGAATACAACTTCGAGTCCATAGGAGCAGGTGAAAGCAGCTTTCATGTGGAGACTCAAGAATCTGTTCTACTTCCCAAATGATCCAAGCACAACCTGTAATGCTGGTGTTCGGCTTCAAACAACATTATGTTTCATCTTGTCATGTTTGTTTTGTGCAAGTTAGTATCTAGTGACATTGAATGGATCTATGTAATGCTTGTGTCTAGCTTCAAAGAACATTATGACTCATCTTTTCATAAGCTTGTAGTTTTCAAAAACAGTATATTATGTTTCTTACACTATTATAATAAGTACAGGGGTTAGTTCTACATGTGAATGTCTGTGCAGGCCAATTCCGGAAATCTCACGGCCGTGAAAGCATGCGTGGTTTTTGGATTTGAAATTCTGAAAATATCACGGCCGTGAGAGTAACCGTGAGAGAGGCCGTGAGATGATGACAGCTGAAACCCAAAAACATGCCTCATAACTGAAACCTCACGGCCGGGAGATATGCCGTTAGAATTCTTTTTAAAATTTGTAACTTCCAGGGGGTTTCACGGGTTATATCCCGCCCGGGACAAAAAGCCGTGAGATTGCACCGTAAAATTGGTAACACCCTATTTAAACCTTCCTCTATTCTACTTGAACCCTCAAATTGGAAACAACCCTCCGTTCTACTTCGACCCCCAACCCTCTTTCACTTCCTACTTCTTTTTCTCCCCGACTCTGTAAATCCTCCCCGCTCCGACTCCGTTTCACCGGCCGCCATGAGCAAGGGACCAGGTCTCTACTCCGACTTCGGCAAGAAGGCCAAAGGTAAACGACTTCCTCTCTCTCTCTCTCTCTCTCTCTCTCTCTCTCTCTCTCTCTCTCTCTCTCTCTTGCTCTCGCGGTTTGCTGCGGCGCCGATGTTTCGTTTGATTCCCTCTTTGTTTGCAGATTTGCTCACCAGGGATTACCTATCCGACCAGAAGATTTCCATCTGTAGTTTCACCGATTCTGGAGTGGTCAGTTCCTTATCATCCCTTCCACACTCATTCTGCTCTTTTCAACTCTTTATGATTTGCTTAAGCCCTGCGATTGGATCTGAGATTTTTCGCATTTCATTTGGTTTGAATGCTCTGAGCTACGCCATGAGAGCTGAAGCTGGCCATGAGAGCTGTTGCTGCTTTCTATTATCTCCAGCAATTGGTTTGTGTAGAGCATACCCTAGGATTTTATTGTTCTAGGAGGTCCACTGTGTGTAGTTTGATTCATTTTCGGATTAACAGTTTTTCTTGGCCATTTCAGGCTGTTACCTCGAATGTTGTTGAGAAAGGAGGCCTTTCGTCTGGGGATGTGGCAGCTGAATACAAGCATAAGAATGCTACTGTTGGATTCAAAGTCGACACTGTGTTCAGTTGTCCCTTCTGCAATCATGGAACAAGTGTCGAGTGCCGCATGTAAGTATTCTTTCAGTTCTTGGGGTTTGGGAGGAATAATCTCAGTGGTATGATAATTCATCGCTTTGGTTGTCATATTAACTTGTCTTAATCGATATTGTTCAGTGATATGAAGAACATGATCGGTGAAGTTTCGTGTGGTATCTGTCAAGAGAGTTTCAGCACCACTATCACAGGTATTTGCCAATCTCCTGTATAATGTAGTGTCTGATTTTGGCTCAAATAAATACCTTTGTTTTTACTTCTCATAACCTTATGAATGAAGAGCTTACTGTAACATCATCAAAAGGGTTCAATTTGTAACCTAAGTGAGCATTGACATGGTTCTGACTGATCATGATGGTGTAGACGTGATTAAAATGCTCCAGGGATCATCTACCTTGACGTCACATTGAGTATTCCACCTCATCGATCTCTAAGGAAGGAAGCAAGGAGAACAAACTTTCCTAGCTCGATACAATCCTTGGACAAGGAATGCAGCAAAGAGATGGAGATCGAAATACAGAGAGTGATTGAAATACAGAGAGATCGAAATACATATAGAGAAGTTTTGAGTGGGAGGGATGGAAAACCCCTGACCAAGGTTTCACCTAGCTAGGAAAGTTTGATCTGTCCGGTATCACCCCAGCTCCAAGGGGAGTTACAAAAGTGGAGATCGAAGAGGATGGAATACTCAAAGAGACATCAAGGGTGAAGAGTAGTTGCCATTGTGTAACAGGAGGCTGCTAGGCGGCTTGAGTCAACCAGTGAGTGTTGCTTATTTAGTCGTTCTTAATTTTTCTACTGGATCTTTGGATTATCTTGGTTTGGTGATAGCCTAGAATTTGACTGATTGTTGCGTTTGTGTGATTTGTATAAGCCTTGGTGGTGCTTAATGGTAGTGATTTGATCTTTGTGTTGTATATATGTGTTTTTTTTTTCTGGACCTGCAGGATTTCTTAGGTGTGGAAAATATGAATGCAGTTGTGGATTCATGGGAGGGGGATGGGCATGGATGTTCAACAAAAGTTTGCTACACAAATTCTTGAGACCAGGAGCAAGACTCGTCGTGGGATGCTGACACTCATCAGGACGAAGACACATCATCGGATTCTGATTACTACAACCAGGAAGGAGACTCCTTCTCGTTGTCGTCGGGTGCTGACACTGATCAGGAAGAAGACGCATTGGATGATGATGATGATGATGACGATGAGTCCGATCATATTGAGCCTGATGACCAACCCAACGGAGCCTCGATCGAGAAATTGGCAAAACATGTGTTATATATGTATGTTCAATTTTTTTTCTACAAATCAATTGCAATGTACTCCATAACTCTAATGATCAAATATTGATCTTCTCTTCAATTGTGGGTGGCTAGATGGATATATCTAGTTATTGTTGTTTTTTGTTCTAAGATGGAAACCTCACGGCTTGTAATTAAATTGTCACGGCCGAGAGAATAAGCCGTGATATGGAAACCATTCTCAATTTCTCACGCCCCATAACCCAAATCTCACGGTTTTTGATCTTTAAATATCACGGGCGTGAGATTAACCCGTGTTATGGTCACAGCTGAAACTCAAAAACACGCCTCACATCTGAAAATCTCACGGCCGGGAGATGGACCGTTAGATTTTTTAAAAAAAGGGGGAGTTCCAGGGGGTTTCACGGGTTGTCTCGCCAGTATCACGGCCGTGAGATGAGCCGTGTTTGTGTAATTGAAATGCTGAACTTCTCACGGCTCATCTGTTAATCTCACGGGCGTGAGATTAACCCGTGAGATGGTCACAGTTGAAACCCAAAACCACGCCTCATAACTGGAACCTCACGGCCGGTAGATATACCGTTAGAATGTTTTTAAAAAAATTGTAACGGACAGGGGGTTTCACGGTTTATATCCCGCCCGGGAGAAAAACCGTGAGATGGAATGCAGCAAATTGGAAACACCCTGTTTTAAATTCCTCTTTTCTACATGAACCCGACCCCCAACCCTCTGTTCTACTTCGACCCCGAACCCTCTTCTCCCCAAGCCTCTTCTCCCCCGACCCCGACCCCCAACCCTGTACTCCCTCTGTTCTCACTCGCTCGCCATCGCACTTCGACCCCCCAAGCCTCGCCCTCACTCGCTCGCCATCGCCCTCGATCGGTCGCACTCGCTCGCTCGCCCTCGAAGATTCTTCCGCCGCCGACCACTTCCCCACGACTCCTCTGGTAACTGCTCCAAGGTTCAGCGGCGACGGCGACCATTTCCCCACGAGTCTCTGCCCTCTGTTCCACTTCGTGAGTTCTTCTTAACCACAGCGGCAATCTTCTCTGGTTTCTTGCATTTTTTAGGGTTTAGTTGCCCAAGGTTGGTCTGAATTAGGGTTTTGAATTCCTAATTGTGATTAGAATGCTCCTGGTTGGTCTGAATTAGGGTTTTGAATTCCTAATTGTGATTAGAATGCTCCTGGGATTAGAATGCTCCTGGTTGGTCTGAATTAGGGTTTTGAATTCCTAATTGTGATTAGAATGCTCCTGGGATTAGAATACTCCTGGTTTGTTGCATTTTTTAGGGTGTAGACGTCTCTTTGTGAATTGCATATGCTTATGCATAATTCTTTTCCCTCTCATTCACTAAAGACTTAATGTGCTTAGTTGGTTTTTGTAGGAATGGGGAAAGCTAAACAAAAAACCACGCAACCATCAGCCTCACCTGCTAAAGTGAAGGCTCCTTCTCGTCGTCGCCGCCAAACCCAAGAACGAGACACTCCCCCCAAACGACAACGCAAAAACAACCAAGGACGAGCACGTCAACCATCTCCACCACCACAAACGGAGGCTCAACTTGGAGGAGGGGGACTTCACGGCTTCCTCCAATTACCCGACAAACATAGGAGGGCTTTAGAGCGCTTCCTTCCCCTCCCATTTGGGCAGCAAAGATGCATTGATTGGGATCTCCTAGAGCGCCTCGGAGCAGCGGACCCCATTCGCACATGCCTCCGTCTCCCGGCATGGTGTGAGGTTCTCTCCATCAATGAGGTCATCTACCGAGAGCTTACCATTGAGTTCCTCAGCACTCTCTCCATCAAGTTTATGTGCGAATTTCACCTCGACAAGCCCGAAGACAACATAACTTTTCGCCTTGGAGGACAGGCGAGACAGATGAGCATCACTGAGTTCACAGAGGCACTCCAGATATACCCACCAGGATTTCTCACTACAGGTCATGGTTTGATTTCAGAGAAAGTATATTCACCAAGAGCACAATTGGTCGATGCTATGTGGAAAAGGGTAAAACAAAACCATGTGGACAAGTATGACACTGCCCACTATAAAGGGAATGATCTTCTTCCCCCATGGCGTATCATCCACAACTTTATCGCTCATTCTGTGGCAGCTAGGGAGGGGAGCCCGGGGAGTGTGACCAAGCGGGATTTGAACTTTTTCCTCTCTATGGTAAAAGATCCCCCAATTCATCTTGGTTTAGTCATACTGAAAACCCTACAGAAGATGACCTCCAACAAACAAATCAAGACCATCCATGGAGGTGCCTACATCACAAGGCTAGCTCGGCATTTTGGCATTGATCCGGTGGGTTCTCATTGCACCATTGCCCAGTCCACTCAACCAATCTCCCAAAAAAATCTTGCGGATCTATATTTGTTGTCAAAGGTAAATGTTCCAACCAACACTTTCCTTTTCACAGTGAATGCTAAAACAGAACTAGTCGGGATTCAAACAATCTAGGATTGATTTTGTGCAAGTTTTGGATTGCCTGCTAATCTAGTTCCTTTTGAACATTGAGCAAATGTAACTAATGCTTCTGATATTGATCATGTCTGTGTTTGGTGGTTAAGGAGAATGGTGTGTTAGGCATTGTTGGCCTCCCTCATCCTGCTCCACCTCTTGCAACAGATGAGGCAAACGCATCGGAGCATGTTGTTCAGCAAATGGTCGAGGAGTCTTCGCAACAACCTGCACAACATCACCAAACTACGACTCAAGCCGGACCATCCACCGACAGATACATTTCCCATTTTGAGGCATTGGGTCGGCAGAATGCCCAAATTCTCGAGCAAAATGCACTCATTCTCTCCCGCCTCGATCGAGAAAAGGAAGCTCGACGCTACATCATCAAATGCAACCATCACATCATGAGGTCCTTGAGGATTGACTACAAAAAATTCTCAACACCTTGGGAACTATCTCCTAGGCCAACCGAGGAAAGCAATGAAGAGGGAAGTGAAGAGGACGACGAGGGCAACGGCGATGAACAAAATAAGGAAACAAATCAAGAGGACAAAGGGACCAATGAGGAAGAGGGCAGTGAAGAGGAAGACGAGGGCAATGGCGATGATCAAAACAAGGAAAGAAATCAAGAGGACAAAGGGACCAATGAGGAAAAGGGCAGTGAAGAGGACGACGACGAGGCCAATGGCGATGATCAAAACAAGGAAATAAATCAAGAGGACAAAGGGACCAATGAGGAAAAGGGCAGTGAAGAGGAGGACGACGAGGGCAATGGCGATGATCAAAACAAGGAAAGAAATCAAGAGGATAAAGGGACCAATGAGGAAAAGGGCAGTGAAGAGGAGGACGACGAGGGAAATGGCAATGAACAAAACAAGGAAAGAACTCAAGATGACAAAGGGACCAATGAGGAAGAGGGCAGTGACTCTAGCGAGGACAATGAAGATGAGCAAATCCATCAAAACGAAGACGAGGACGAGAGCACTAACGAGGAAGATGGGCAGTGAAGATGAGCCAACAAAAGTCCTTACTACTTAGCTATGTCTGTTTGCGTTTGTGCTTGTATGTTTTCCAATTAGAATATGATGATGCACTAGTGTGGGCTACATGCAGCTAAACTTAAGCATTAATTAGACAGATTTAATCGTGTTATGGATGCTTGTTTTATTAGACAAATGTAATGCTTTGACTGCGTTTTACTTTTTGTTAACAAGGTATCTCATCTGATATGATGTACAGTTACTAGAGAACATTGTGAATGGATCTATGTAATGCTCGTGTCAAGGTTTAGAGAACATTATGAATCATCTTTTTCATAAGTTTGAAGTTCTGGAAAAAAGTCCATTCTGTTTGAAACACCATTATAATAAGTACACGGGATAGTTCAACAGGTGAAGGTCTCCTACGGGAAATCTGACACCTTATACTGGTAATCTCACGACCGTAAAATACTCAAGTGAGATGTAAAAAGCAGTGCTTCATTCCTCAGGCAAATATCACGGCCGTGCGATGTCCCGTGAAATGCAAAGAGCAGTTCTCACTATCCCAGGAAATTTCACGGCTACTACTTGACATTGTCACGCCCGTCAAAATCTCACATTCTAGAGTTGTACCTTTACACTAAACTTAAAGTTGTACCTACACTTTCCTAAAAATCTTCTATGGTACAATTCATAATTGTACCTATACACTATGGTACAACTTAATGTTGTACCTACACTTTCTAACAAATCCCTTTATGGTACAACTAAAAATTGTACCTATACTAATGGTACAACCTTAAGTTGTACCTACACTTTCTAATAAATCCCTTTATGGTACAACCCAAACTTGTACCTATACTAATGGTACAACTTTAATTTGTACCTACACTTTCTAAAAATCCTTCTATGGTACAACCCGAACTTGTACCTATACCATGTTACAACTTTAAGTTGTACTTACACTTTCTAATAAATCCTTCTATGGTACAACCCAAACTTGTACCTATACTAATGGTACAACTTTAATTTGTACCTACACTTTCTAAAAATCCTTCTATGGTTAAGTTGTACCTACACTTTCTAATAAATCCCTTTATGGTACAACCCAAACATGTACCTATACCATGGTACAACTTCTTTAAGTTGTACCTACACTTTCTAACAAATCCCTTTATGGTATAACTAAAAATTGTACCTATACTAATGGTACAACCTTAAGTTGTACCTACGCTTTCTCAAAATTCTTTTATGGTACAACCCAAACTTGTACCTATACCATGGTACAACTTTAAGTTGTACCTACACTTTCTAACAAATCCTTTTATGGTACAACTAAAAATTGTACCTATACTAATGGTACAACTTTAAATTGTACCTACACTTTCTAATAAATCTCTTTATGGTACAACTCAAATTTGTACCTATACTAATGGTACAACCTTAAGTTGTACCTACACTTTCTCAAAATCCTTCTATGGTACAACCTAAACTTGTACCTATACTATGGTACAACTTTAAGTTGTACCTAGCTAGACTTCCTAAAAATCCTTCTATGGTACAACCCAAACTTGTACCTATACCATGGTACAAATTTAAGTTGTACCTACACTTTCTAACAAATCCCTTTATGGTACAACTCAAAATTGTACCTATACTAATGGTACAACCTTAAGTTGTACCTACACTTTCTCAAAAAATTTTTATGCTACAACCCAAACTTGTACCTATACCATGGTACAACTTTAAGTTGTACCTACACTTTCTAACAAATCCCTTTATGGTACAACTAAAAATTGTACCTATACTAATGGTACAACTTTAAGTTGTACCTACACTTTGTGAAACAAATTCTTCAATGGTACAGCTGAAACTTGTACCTATACTATATGGTACAACTCTAATTTGTACCTACACTTGTATACATTGATTCATTATTTACAAGATTGCCATTAATGATGTGGGACCAGTCATTTAGTGGATTACCTCCTCAACAGGTCACCTTTTTTTTTGTTTTTTATAGCATGGGTGCTATAAAGCACACTAGAAGGGCTCATGAAGGAAAAATAAAAGTAATCGGAAAATGGTTCTTATAAGTTGCTGCCGGATCCATTCGTATAGCATACATGCCTTTTACAGTTTTACCCGCTCCACTTCACACAACGAACAGGTTTAAAACCGTCGGCGGGGAGCACAGGACAGGTCGACATCCCGTCTGAGCTCGCCGGCGACAGGTTTCAACCCGTCCGCTGCAATCATCGGAAGAAAAAAATGTCATGCATGCTTGAGAAACAGGCGTGAATCGGCAGGCTGAGGGAACGGGTTGGGGGAATGGCAGCGACTGCCGGAATTTCGGGTCGGCGGGACGTCACAAGATGTTAGGGATTGCGGATTGAAAATGGGCACGAGATATAAACGTCAATTTAGTACCATTTAGGCCGAATAAATTTAAATTTTAGGGCGACGAACAACGATTCAGCTTTTAAGTGGCTGCAGATCTAATGGTGGAGAATTAAAGGAATTTATTTTCCCTAGTTTTCTTGATTGGATCATATCTTCTTCATTCTAACTCGGATTTCAATTTTTTTCACAGATGAAACGAGTTCATTGTGCTCTACAAAATGATATCCAATTTTAATATTTTTTTTGGAAAAAAATTCATAAATCTCTTTACCAACTCCATAGCATATGGTATCTCCTTTGTTTTTTAGTCGTTTTCGGAAATTTTTGCACAGAAGGAACGATTTAATCATGATCTATTGGATTTCAAAAATTTATGGGTGAAAAAATTTCATTCCTCTCGTTACCAACTCCATACCATACTATACCACCCTGGTATGGGCCATGGGGTGGTATTTTTCATACCATATGATATGCTCTTATTTAATACCAGTCAATACCATATGGTATAGACTGGTAATAACCAGCAAATTTTATTGTTCCAAAAAATATCAAAGTGGATATCATTTTGAAGAGCACAATTAATCTGATCTAACTGTGCAAAAAATTTAAATTCTGACTTAAAACAAGTGAGAAATCATCCGTTAAAGATTAAGGGAAGGAAAATTAAAGTTTTCTCGAGGAGAGAGAAGGACGCGCTAATATGGCGGATTCTTATTGGATTATACATGAAGTTATTGCACCACAAGATTACTAACTGTATCTGCTCCCTCCCGTTTTTTACACTTCACAACAAAGAAAGTAAAATTTTAACAAATAAATTATGTCCTAGTATCCCTGTAAATTTAACTTTGCATTATATAAAAGCTTACACAAAATCCCAAATCGAAACTACGACAAATTTTAACTCACTGCCAATAAATATGAGGGGGAGTCAGTTATTACATTTATGCGGAAGTGACTCCTCTGTTATTAACTCGTTCCAACTACAACATCACGATCGACAACCAAGTATAACCATCGACCAGGTGTAGCATAGGGCAAGCAATCAATAATAACTTATCATATCACGGGGATTTTTAGGCTTATCCTACTTCGGTTTAGGGTTCGTTATCTAGCCAACTCAGGATAATGATTCAAAAGACTAAACTAACTAACCTAGCTATTTACAAGGTTAAGAGCTCTCTTGGGTTACCCCTATTTCCGACATTTTGATCGATGTTGAGTATCCTCCTAGCTCGATCGACTCAAATACTCTAGCGTTAGGAGATGGACTCCCTCGGGAATGACTAGGAACGACGAATCGATGAATAAGGTATGCTCTATCCAACCTAGAGCAACCCTACATCGTAAGAGATTGATGGAATTGACTCCCTCGGGGATTACCCATACGATATAGGATGAGGACTGACCCAAAGATGCCAATAATGGGCTCTAAGGTGATTTTCAACATCCATCAATTAAGTAAAATCATCAATCAAACATGGAATTTGTCACATATATAAACAATGAAACAAAATCTAGACCTAGGGTTCTTAAACCCAAGAGAATATGGTGAGTTTCTAGAGAGAAGAGAGAGATTAAAAACAAAGCACAAGATCTACTTCTTCTTCTAGGCTTGATTTTTTGCTTCCAAGTTTGATCAATGCCTTCAATTAAGCTCCAAGATCACTCAAGAACTCACTCTCTCTAGAACTCCCCTTGGGTGTTTTGTGTCGAAACTCTAGAGAAAGAAACTAATTCCTCTCCAAAAACTTGCTCCCCTTTCTCTCTCCCCGCTGTTGTCTTTATAATTGCCCAACAATGCCGATTTCACAGTCTGGGGCTTGAGTTCATGGTCTTAGTGACCGTGAACTCACTGGGATCCCTCGAGGTGTGCATTTGCTTTTGGAATTTGGCCACTTCACGGTCTGGGGTGATTATCACGGTTTTGGGACCGTGATAAATGAGTCATGCCCTTGAAGTCTTACTCTTCACTCCCTGGGGATGATTTTCAGGGTCTAAGGGCGTGACATTTGCCTCCAGTCCATGAACAGTGCTCAACCTCAACTTTTTGGCTCGTTTTGACCTCCTAAGGACCCGAAACTCGTCCTAGACCTTCCCATATGTACTAGGACCTAAAATATGACAAAAGAAACACAACCTAGGGTAAAATAGGTCGAGAGGCGACGATCTACAAAGCTAAAGGAACAAGAAATGAGGGGTAAAAAAATGCACAATTGGACCCGAATCACACCCCCACACTTGAACGTTTGCTTGTCCACAAGCAAACCAAGTATAAAACAAATTAAGCTTACAACTTCTTTTCAACAAAAGTTTTGAGGCATATCATAGGGCACAAAACAAACGAATCTCAATGGTTATTTCGACATCGACTTATGGACAAAAATAAGGTAATCATGGCGACCACCACAAACGATATTCAACTGTATTTAGACTGTGCAAATAAAGAGTTCTCACATTATTCATCAACCAACACATAATCTGTTTCGACAACTCCCCAATCACAATCACTCATGCATGAAGATAACATCATAGGAACGAACGATCGAGCAACCTAGGTCCTCACCGGGGTATAAGAAATGAATAAACCATGATGAATGAATCACTCACTCTCGACCAGTGGGGTCATGACCATTTTATGTGCATATTCACACTCAATCCTAACATCCCTTTACCATGACGGTAACCTCTAAATGTTAGAGCTCACAAGATGGGTGTCGTTGCTAGCTTGTCTGGAGGACTTAAACATGGGTTCAAATGACTGGCTAGGGTCTAGGACATGGGGAAAAGGCCATTTGGGTGGTGGCACACATAACATGAGGTTCCACATCTTCAACCTAAAACCAAAACAAGGTTCTATGGTTTCGACTAGAACCTTCTTCTACAAGCAAGGGCCACTAGCATCGGCAAATACCACACTTCTCTCCATTCCAAACCACAATCAATCCCCAAATCATGTCACACATACTTCCTTTCTACATTTGCTAGTAAATTTCAAGCACAAGAGTGTAGAGGTAAAAAAACATGTAAGTGTTTCTATAGCTTGCATGCCAAGAAACACTTCTAAGAGCATGTTCAACATTTATTATATTTTTGGTGGCCACTCTATTTTCTTCTATGCCCTTTTATTGATTTATTTTTCTTTCTTTTCCTTTTCTTTACTCTTTTCTTTGAGGGCTATAGAGAGCTATGTACACATGCCACATTTTTTTACTTAAGGAACAATGCTCACTTTTACGAACTAGCTCCACACTCACTTCACAATCTTAGCAAAACCATACAAAAATCACTCATGTTGAACTTCATTTAAGCTCAAACGATACAAATGGAGCTTCTGAACACAAGGGTAACTCAAAACGGTATAGACACGAAGAAAGTAGGGTCTCTCTATCTAAATCAATCAAGCTTAAGTAGCAAAAGCTACCTAACATGAGAATGACCCTTAGACAGACGACTCAAAAGGGGTTGACTAAAGGATAATACGATCGGGTTGGTCAACTTTTGGGTCGTGGGCTAATCCTATGCCTCCATCTTCCTCGCTAGCAACAACGTGAACACTACATATCATGTAAGGGGGATCTATCGCACAACAACGAAATGAACGACACAAGTCTCACATGGCTACCTAGGTGTTCAATCATTCGTTCTAACTGTCTAAACTCGATGCATAGGCAACTATGAAAAGCGACTAATCAATTCAAAACATCTATCGATTCATAAACACATGAGAACTGAACCTATGCACAAACCTAATACAAGTCTCAATCATCATAATAGGATGCACACAATCACAAGCAAATCATCCATAGACCGATGCTAATACCCACGAGATTCAAAACAAAGCACCAAAGGTGCCACTATGATTATGCAAATGTCGAATTTGCTATGCTTGGAGCCCTCAAAGTTTAAAATTTTGGGCATACAACTAGGCTCTAAAGCGTTCAAAATCACACCAATCATTCACACACACATGCATAGTCGACTACCCCCCCCCCCCATTTAAGCTCGACATTGCCCTTAATGACACATAATAAGGTGGTAGAACGATGTTACCGGATAGGGTGTGAATGTTGGTGGATGGGAGTGGAGGGCGGGTGAGATCCGGAAGAGGAAGGCCACAGCAAAACACCGCCAAAATCGCTCCAATGGTCTTCTTCTTGAAAGGAAAAGAGATGCAACCAGTTGGAATGGGTTACCTCCCATCAAGAGCTTATTTAACGTCGTGAGCCGGACAATTTCTCTTTAAGTTTTGGTCCATCCAAGAACCTCCTTGAAGTTGAGGTTCTCAACATCGAGGTGGAGCCTGAAGTCATGAGCATATGGAATGACATTTGATGATGACTCTTGAACTTGAGTGAGATGAAGCCTCCACCCTCGAGACCTCTCCTTCTCCTTTTCTTCTTCTTCCTCCTTTCCCCACACCATATATTCCATCATCGATTGACTTCCATCGCATCCACCAAGAGGGATCGTAGATGGTTTGGCCTTGTCTTGGCAAAGATCTGCAAATGGAGCCTTGCTAAGCAACACCTTGAAGTATGGTGGAGATTCCTCAATAATCTCATGGCCGATGCAAGCCTCTTCCGCCAAGACTTCTTCCTTAGTTTGAAAACCAATTGCTTCATCCAAATCCTTCCCTTCTTCACATTCCTCCCCTTGTGGGTCCTCAAGAAATTCTTTTTCATTTGCTTCTACCTCCTCCACAACTTTTTCAATCATCCTCCCTCGCTCTTCCGCTAGCATGCTAAGTTCCCAAGCAATGTCTTCAATTGACTCGGCACTCATCTCCTCATTGAGAATGTAACATCTCGGTATTTTAGATTTGAGTTCGACCATAATAAATGAGTGGCTGGTTTGACGGTTACGTACTAAGAGTTGCAACCGCGAATTAGCAATAATAATAATAATAACTATTATTATTATTTAAAAAAAAACAACAATAAAGTGGGGCGCCCCTAGGGGCCGAGCTCCACTAACCCCCACCCCCTCACCTTTAATTAAAACCGCCACCAATTACTTTTTCTAGCCACCGAGGGAAGCAGCAGGGGAGAAAAAAACCCTCCCCGTCGCCAAAATTTTTATTCTCCCAGTGCGAGGCGGAATTAAGAAGCAGCCCACCACCGCCCCTGTTTCTCGACCCCGACCCCATCTCTTTCGTGTCCCTAGGTAAGGATCGCAAACTCTTTCATGATTCCAAACTCCATTCATTGATATTCTAATCTGAAGCTCGTATTTATTAGCGGTGACGTTTGAGGTTTCGATCATCGATCAACGAGGAGATCAACGTCCCGGGCCATCCAATCGAGTCCTAGGCACGTTCTAGAGGTAAGGGAACTCGATCCCTTTGAGTTAGATCAATCGATTTGGTGATTTTTCGTGAGGATGCAATTCTAGGTTTTTAGCAACAGACTTTACAGGCTTTTAGTGACAGATTTTGGGTGGTCACTAAAGCTGCTGGGAATTTACAGAAACTTATTTTGGATGTTTTTAATTGTTTCGACCCTCTGTTGGTGTTTTTTTTTCATATATTTAACAATTTTATAAATTGAGGTAGGTCTAGGAGATGGCTGTAAATTAATTTGTGGATTTTTTAAGATGTATTTCTATTTTTAGAAATTGTTCAAATTTTTATTTTAATTAAATAAAAATCTTACCAAGTTTATTTTAAGGGTTTGATAATTTTACAGGGTATAGGTGCTCATGATTGACATAGAAAAATTATTATCCAAATTCTTAAGAAGGTTCAAGGTAGGTGAAAAATTCGTCCAAGACAAGAATAATTAGGAAAAGTGGTTGGTTTTGATGGGATTATTTGTAGAAAATTTTTGAAGGGGGTTAAGGGACCTTTGGAGCGAGGCTCGTGGGCTGAATTTTGAGGAGAGGATGTTCTAGTGATTCAAAAGGAATTTTAAATTGAGAAAAGTCGTCTAAGAAAATGGATTCTTATTAATAGGTTTCCCCAAGATAATCCGGCTAAGGAGGGGTTTCTTCGAGGAAGGAATCGAGGAGTCATCTTTTCGAGGTGAGTGTAAAGGGGGTGAAATCTATGTCGAGGTCGTTTTAGTTTATGCTTTTCGTTCAAGTTAATATTTGAGTAATATTTGGGCCACTACTGGTTGCGGTAGATGGTCGGATCTCTGCTGGACGGCGAGACGTAATGTAGCAGTTGATCGTGTTTGTTGGGGTCACAACTGGATGGCAAAACGTATCGCAGTAGTTGATTGGTCATGGACTGGACGGCGAGACATAACGCAGTGCCATTGCCGAGTGTGGGTATGCAACCGGACGGCGAGACATAACACGGTTGGCATACTAGGGTGGGGACACCGGACGGCGAGACGTAACGCGGTGGTCCCTAGTGTTGGTGTCTATGGATTAAGAATATAAGTAAGGAAAATTATAAAGATAAGATACGAGTATAGATCTCTTATGGATTGTTTGATAACAAAGTATAAGGGATGAAAGCGAGAACGACTTTAGTCTAAGTCAAGAACCCTAATAACGTGTTTAATAAGGATTTTCTTAGGGTGGAGACCAATAGTAACGACGAGACTGACCCCTTCTCACTCACCAGGTGCAGAGAGGGGAAGATGACGCATCCATCCAGAGAAGGTTACCCGAGGAGAGCAGTTGCGGCAAACCTAAAGATGTCAACTGGATCTGGGTAATGAGATGAGACCTACCATTATATCTGTCTTTAGTTTCATGTCTTAATGAGTATACTGGGAAACTCAAGGATTTTGTTTTGTGTTTTGTTTCTCTGGATTGAGGTCGCCCAAGTGTTTAGGGCATTTCACTTGAGAATCTTAAACATTGTTGTTGTTGATTTTTTGTTTTGATTTGTAAACCTGTTTTGGGTTGCTCCGGAGTAACCGGTTTGTGGTTTGAGTTATGGTTTGGTTTTCAAAAAGGATAGGGTCGTTTCAGAGAACCTCCCCATCAATGCTTGAAATGAAGTGTGGAAGAGAGGTGGCTACTTCAAGAGGGCATTTCAAGTCTTGAGTATCACGGTGGCCATCCGTGACAACTTCCGACCGTTCCAATTTATCCTCAAGGATTGCCTCTTCATCTTCTTTTTCTTCACCAACCACTGAGAATCGTTCTTGAGTGAATCGTGGACAAGCTTCCTTAACCATTGAGTTTAGCTTCTCTGTGCGCTTGTGTATTTCCTCCCTCCTAGAACAAAAGCTCATACATGAAAATGGAAACCAAACTCATGCAATCCATGAAAACATCCATCAATTAAGTAAAATCATCAATCAAACATGAATTTTTTCACAGACATCAACAATGAAATAAAATCTAGACCTAGCGTTCTTAAACCCAAGAGAATAGGGTGAGTTTCTAAAGAGGGAAGAGAGAGATTACAAACAAAGCACAAGAGCTTCTTCTTCTAGGCTTGATTTTTTGTTTTTAAGGATGATCAATGCCTTCAATCAAGCTCCAAGATTACTCAAGAACTCACTCTCTCTCTCTCTCTAGAACTCCCCTTTGGTGTTTTGGCTCTAAACCCTAGAGAAAGAAACTAATTTCTCTCCAAAAACCAACTCCCCTTTCACTCTCCCCGTTGTTGTCTTTATATTTTCCCGACAGTGCCGACTTCACTGTCTGGGGCTTGAGTTCACGGTCTTAGCGACCGTGAACTCACTAGGATCCCGCGAGGTGTGCATTTGCTTCTGGAATTTGGCCACTTCACAGTCTAGGGGTGATAGGAACTTTGTTCCTGTCAGGTTTGGTTTTTGGGGATCAGGGTTTATGCAAATAGAATTAGGATTGAGATTGAGATTTGGGAAAGAAGAAGAGAATGGTAGAGAATCGGTCTAGGCCTTGGACGGATTCAGAACGAGAATTTAGGGATAGGGAGAGGTTACGGTTTAAGAGATTTACTTAATATTCTTCTTATTGATCTGAATGAATAACCTAAACACATATTTATAGGAAAATAGCTAGAAAACCTAATAATAAACTTAACTCCACTAAAAGACTACTAACCATATATAATAATATCCTAATATAATAATAAAAATAACTATAGAAACCCTAGGGAAATAGGTTTCCATCATCCCCTCCCCCTTGAGACCAACCTTGCCGTCAAGGTTGATCAACTCATCCCACGTCTTCACCTTTTCCGCACGATCTGCGCATCGACTGTGCCATTTCTTACGCTTTCTTTTCTTCCAATTGTGATCCACCTCTTCATTTAGACACCTTGCTTTGTCCGATCCTATGGAACAGCTCCCTTCCTCCAAGTTAATAAACTTTCCCTCACTCTCTAACAATCGTAGCCCATTTGTCTTCCAAAAGTCCAAATCAAATTCTTGGGCCCAAACTCTACTGGGATGGGAGAGAAGGGACGATATGGTTTGTATTGCCAATCCTGTCCCCATGCGAGCTAGTCCATCACCGAATGGCTCTGCTAAACTCCATCTAATTCCTCCTCGTCAAAATCACGCTCATCCAGTCCTCATCAAAATCACGCTCATCCAGTCCAGGTTGTTGGTCGAGGTCTATGTGGCTCGTTTTTACCACTTGGCTCACTTCATTTGGCCTGTTTGGTAATGCAGCCGATAACGTTATATTTGCACATGTTTGCACCCTTATTTCTTAACCATTTTGGCTCGATTTTGTGACTCCTTGGCCTATTTTACGCTAGGTTGTGCTATTTTTCCATATTTCAGGTCCTAACGGGTGTACGAAGGTTTAGGCGCAAGTTTAGGGTCGTTTGGAGATCATTTGACGATTGTGGGGCAAAAGCACTGTTGTCCACTGTAAAAGCACGACCGTGTTTTTCATCAGCCTAGCCGTGTTTTTACTAGTGAGAGCAAACTAAGAGGATGCTGAAGAAAGACAAAATACGGGCAACCCAAGAGTAAAGCACTTAAGGATTATCTTGCGCTGGAGTGTATTGATTATACGAGAGTCAGCCAATTCACTGCTTTGCACTGGAATTTGTTTCCAGTAGTGGAGTTCTGTGTTAATTGCCTTAGCATTCTATCCAGATGAAGACTAGTCATCTGCCGGTTAGTGTGTCTAAGAGGGCTTGGTCAGCTTAAGAGATTCCAAACTACTGTCGGATCTTTCACAGTTTACTCAACAGTAAATAAACCAAAGGAAATTAAAAATTGGACCAAATTAAGGAGCTAATAAGGGGACTCATTCCCGAGTGACTCTTCCCTTGCTTAAGAATTTTGAACAATTTACTGCTTTCTTTCTGTTTAGTTTGAATTCACCTTCACTCACTTAGTCCCGCTAGATAATAGAAGTTCGCGGAGTAGGTAGTAGATCTAGACCCTGGGTTGATAAATTATCAACCAACTTACCCACTATTCTGCATTTCCATACTACAATTATACTTGGTCGTAGTTTAGTGTTGTGTTTTAGCTAGTCAAATTTTTGGCGACGTTGCTGGGGACACTAGGTTATTGTAGAAACGTAAAAGTCTAATACTTAAGGATTATCTTTACTGCATTCTCTCTCTTCCACTTGTGTGCCTTCACGGGTTGTTTTTGCTATTGGTGTGCAGGTAGTGCATGACCCATATCCAGTCGGGAGACCTACTACCATTATACCAGGAGCTTTAACGAACCTGTGGCAACTTCAAGAAAACATGAAAGGCGCGACTAGCTGTGGAGGAAGCTCTTGCTAAACTGAACATCAACCAGGAGGACGACATGGGTGAACCCAATAATGGCGGGGAGGCTATCCCTGATTAACATACCATGGGATACTACTGGACTGCTAGAGCCAAAGACATGAGGTCCCCCATCCAGCACCCTCAAGTTGCTGCCAACAACTTTGAGGTGAGCACCTATGTTATCACCATGCTTCGAAGCTTGGTGGTATTCCATGGGAAGGCAGGCAAGTGCCCATGCGCGCACTTTAGGCGATTCCATGATTTGATCGATGGAATCAAGATTAACGGGGTCCTCAAGATGCCATCCGCCTGCGCTACTTTCCCTTCACACTGGAGGGCCAGGCAAAAATGTGGTTGGACAACCGCCCTCCGGAGTTGATCTCTACATTCACCAGTCTTGCCGACAAGTTCCTGACCTAGAATCATCCTCCATCCAAGATAGCAAACCCGTAGAAGGAGATCACCTTTTTTCACAAGAAGAAGATGAGACCACCGGGGATGCATGGGAGAGATACACTAGTCTCTTCTGGAGGTGTCCTAATTATGGTTTCAATGATGCTTTCAAGGTGGGCACCTTCTAACGAGCTCTCTTCCCTAAAGATAAGCAGCTGATCGACTCGGTATGTTGTGGGAACATGCTGAACAAGACGCCACAACAGATGAATCAGCTCTTTGATGATATGGGAGAGTAGGGATATGAATGGGGGACTGCTAAGAGATCGAGGCGAGCACAAGGTCGGGGTGTGCATGCTGTGGATACCTAGTCATCTAAGTTGGTGGAGGTTGTGTCTAAATTGGTCTCAGCCATCGATAAGAACGAGATGGTTCTAGGTACACGGCAATAGCAGGCGATATATTGCCAGTGGTGTGAGAGCACCAATCATAGGGTGGAGGACTACCAAGCCATGCGAGAGTCTAGCACACTGCAGGAGCAGCTGAATTTGATTAATAATGCTTGGCGCAACGACCCCTACAGTAATACATACAACGAGGGGTGGCGCTAGCATACAAATTTCTCCAGGAGTGGCAATAACAATCCCAAGCTACCGGGCTTCCAGGTTCATAGAGCTAGTTTTCAAAACCAGAGACAGACATACCAGCCCCGCCCAGGCCAGATGCAGCAGCAGCAACCATTTTATCAGTCCAAACAGGGGCAGGCTTTTCAACAGTCCCCACAGCAGCAGTAGTACCAGCAGCTTGATGCATCTCCATCAGTCCCAACACCAGGAGATCCCGTGTCAGAATTGAGGGATCTAGTGACCACATTGGCCAACACCAGCACCCAGAAGTTCAGTAAACTGGATCAATTCAAGAAAATGACTTCGGGCAAATTCATGGAGATTGAAGCTAGCCAGAGGAACCAGTAGGCACTTTTGCAAGATATGGACACCAAAATCGGGCACCTAGCAGATGCCCTTGCTTCTAGACAGACTAGCACATTTCCTGGCCAACCCTTGCCAAACCCCAGAAATCATAAGGAGGGGTTGCACGCCATCATGGTTAGGAGTGGGACTGTAACTGAAGATGCACCATCGAGGAGTGCAAAGAAGGTGACCCAGATCACCTCGGAGCCAGAAGAAGACCAGGTGATGGAAAAGGAGCCAGAGGTTCGGGCCCCAAAGCCCTAGCCAGTAGTGGCTGAATATAAGGCTAAGCTCCCTTTTCCCACCAGGATGCACAAAGACCGGCTAGAGGCAGAGTTCGGGTACTTCATGTCCATGCTTAGGAAGCTGAATGTTCAAGTGCCCTTCCTGGAGGCATTATCTCAGATGTCGAAGTATGCAAAGTTCCTGAAAAATCTCCTCTCTAAGAAGAAGAAGAAGAAGCTGAGCGAGATGTCCACTGTGGAGCTCAGTGAGGAGTGCTCGGCCATTCTGCAGAACAAGCTTATGCAGAAGCAAAAGGACCCAGGTAGTTTTCCTCTCATGTGCTCTATTGGTAAATTGCATGTAGAGAGGTCATTGGTGGACCTAGGTGCTATTATTAACGTTATACCATATAAATTGTTCAAGAAACTAGGCCTAGGTGAACCCGGTGCAACTAGGATGAGTATTCAATTAGTTGACCGGTCCATAGTTCACCCTAGAGGCATAGTGGAAGACCTCCAAGTTAAAGTTGCAGATTCATTTATCCTGTGGATTTTGTTGTCTTAGACATTGATGCGGAAGCAGAAGTGCCCCTTATACTAGGTAGGCCTTTCTTGGCTACCGCCAAAGCTCTCATAGATGTGCATGATGGGACCCTGATTTTGAGCGATGGTGAGGAGAAGATAATATTTTCCATTGCCAATAATATGTCTGCTTTATCGCCTTTGCATGCGGCCTCTCACCAGGTGCATGAGTCTGTCATGTATCCTTCTGTGCTTCCGTTTTGCAAGACTCTCCTCCCATTCCTTTGCCGCCACTCCTGTCCACCCCGTTACCAAAAGAAAAATCAAGGAGGAGTGGCAGCCGAAACTGCAGGTAGCTAAGCCTGCTCAAAAGAAAGTTGGAAACCACTATGAGCTGGTCTCAGCTCCTAAGCCACGACCTCCTTGGCCATCCGATTATTCACTCGCTTGCATCCTGCCGGATGGCCAGGTTGAGCTGACATGTGCTGGTGGTCACACCCGTCATGTGCATGGCCACTATCTGAAGTTGTACCTCAAGAGCTATGTGGATCCGCTCTAGGAGGCACCTGTTCCTACACCTCTCTAAGCATCCACCCTATGCGTCCAACTAAAGACGTAAAAGAAGCACTTGTGAGGAGGCAACCCCACCATGGTTTGGTTTGATTTTGTTTTGTTTGTTTTTTTCTTTTTGGTTTTTCCACTTGGATTATGGTTTCTATCACCCATTGTGTTTTGATGACTCTAGCTTTGTGCCTTTAGACTGGTCCCCTTCCAGTCCCCTGCTCTTGACTGGTCTGCCTTCCAGTCACTGCTCCCGATCATCATTTCTCGGTAACATCGTTCCCCTTCCCTCTGCTCCATTGAGAAAAATGGCGAACTTAAGTGTGGGGGGTGCTTTGCCTCTTTTGGAACATATGATTGGTATGCTTGGAGCCTAGTCTATTGTCCAAATCTATAGATTTGATGGCTCTGAGTACTGATATTTGCATGAACAAATTGGCACTGTGGTTTATGTGGTGAATCGATTGGTTGTTAACATTGATGGATAACAACTTGTTTGTGACTAGGACAACCTATAATGATGACTGAGACGTGCACTAGAGTTGTGTAGGGGGTTCAGTTTTTCAACGGTTTGCTTACCAACTACAATTTGGATTGATCACTTTTTTTTTACATTCGTTTATGCATCTAGTTCAGGGAATTTGAATGAGAGATAAAGAATATAGGTAGTCATGTGAGATTTGAGCATGTTCATTTCTTTCTTATGCAATAGATCTCTCTTCCATGATGTGTAGCATTCACGTTGTCACTAATTAGGAAGATGGATGCATAGGATTAACCCACGACCAATTGATTGTCCTGGTTTCATATCCCCTAGTTAGCCCCTTTGAGCCGTGTAACTCTCTTTCTTTCGGTCTACAATGAAAAATCACCATTTTGCATCTCTTAGAGGTTCCACATAGTGGTTTTTGCATGTTCTCTGCTATTTCTGCTAGAAATAATATGAGGATTCGGGGTCATTCTTAAAAGTTGGGCATGTGTTTGAAGAAATGTGCAGAGGTGGTGGTTCTCTCAAGAAATGAAAATAATAAGAAAAAAATGAATGAAAGCAAAAGAGAGCCACCGCAAACATCTTAATCATGCCCATTAAATAGTGTTTTTTAGCAGCTTGGCTTGGAAATACTAACATGTTATGACCTCCTTCACTCTTGTGCTCTAGAGAACTTAATTAATGCATAATAGCAGAGAGAAAGTAAATGGTTTGAATGAATGTTGTTGTGTTTGGTTTTAGAACTGTGGAACCTTGTATTATGAATTCTTCCACTACCTAAAAGGCATTTTCCCCATGTCAAAGACACTAGCCAGTCATCTGAACCAGAGTCTAAGACCTTCTGACTAGTTAGTGGTGACACCCGATATGTGAACTCTAGCATTTAGCGGTTGCCATCATGGTGAAGAGACGTTAGGATTGAGAGAATAAGCATGCACATTTTCGCATCAAACTGTCCTGACCCCACCGGTCGAGAGTGAGCGATTCATTTCCTAATTTTCTTTACATTCTTTACCTCATGCTCGATCTTGATTCTAATGTCTTGAATTTTAAGCATGGGTGACTGTTTTGGATGAGTGGTTGAGTCAAGTCTAAGTTGGTCAGTGAACAGAAGGGAGACTCTTCCTTTACCCGATTTTGCTGCACTCGAATGTCATCTGTGGTGGTTATCTAGGTTGCCGTTGAGGTTGTTCATGTGTTGATGTCTAAAGGCATGTTGTGTGCCCATCTGATATGTACCCAAGGTTTGCATGATAACTGTTTTGAGCTCACCTTGTGTCTGACTTGGTTTGCTTGGGGACAAGCAAACGGTTAAGTGTGGGGGAATTTGATAACGTCATGTTTGCACATGTTCGCACCTTTATTTCTTAACCATTTTGGCTCGATTTTGTTGCTCCTTGGCCTATTTTAAGCTAGTTTGTGCTATTTTGTAATATTTCAGGTTCTAGCAGGTGTACAAAGGCTTAGGCTCAAGTTTCGGGTTGTTTGGAGATCATTTGATTATTGTGGAGCAAAAGCACGGTTGTCCCCTGTAAAAGCACGACAGTGCTTTTCATTAGCCTAGCTGTGTTTTTACTAGCGAGAGCAAACCAAGAGGATGCTCAAGAAAGACAAAATACGGGCAACCTAAGAGAAAAGCACGACCGCGCTTCAAAAAATACCGCCCGTATTTCACCCAGACTTGCCCGTGTTTTCTCTCATTTTAGCCTAAGTGAAATGTGCGTTTTGAACAAAGCACGGTCAAGGGAGGAAGCACAACCGTGTATCTCCCCGTAATTCGTCCAGTATCGTGGTAAATAGGCAGATTCGAGCCAAAGGAAGGGGATTCGACTTTTTGGAGCAAAAACATAGTTCTAAAGAGAGAAAGTGTGAAAAACAAACCCTATGAGCTATTTTGGAGTGGATTTCTCACCATTCAAGCTCAGACTGCATCCCCAGGAATGAAGATTGACATTCTAGAGCAGATTATTCCCATCTTTATGAGTATGGTTGCTTTGATTTTTGTTTTCCACTCTCTCTATGGAGTAGACCTTTTTCTCACTTGGATATGAAGAACCCTAATTCCATGTGTTAGGGATTTGAGTTGTAATGACTTTTGGATTGATATAATGATTGGTTTTAATCGATTGAAGTGTGTTTATTGAGTCAATTGAATCCTGATCTGATCAACTTCTTTTGATTTCTGCTGCAACCTGAGATAGATATAATCTGATTAGGTTGTTAGAGATTCTTCAATCGATAGGAGTGAATTGATTGTACGAGAGAGTCAGTCAATTCACTGCTTTGCACTGGAATCTGTTTCCAGTAGTGGAGTTCTGCATTAATTTCCTTATCATTCTATCCCAGTGAAGACTAGTCATCTGTCGGTTAGTCTGTCTAAGAGGGCTTAGTCAGCTTAAGAGATTCCAAACTACTGTAGGATCTTCCGCAGTTTAATCAACAGTAAATCAACTAAAGGAAATTACAACTGGGACCTAATTAAGGAGCTAGGGGGACTCATTCCCGAGTGACTCTTCCCTTGCTTAAGAACTTCAACCAATTTACTGCTTTCTTTTTGTTTAGTTTGAATTCACCTTCA